AATTCAGGTTAAGTTTTGTGGCTTACTTCTATCTGAACTCAAATGTGAACGGGGCTGGATTTGTTCCTTTCCTTGAGTAAAGGCCATTAGAAAAAAGGCCTTCCGATTTCCCAATTTTAAGGAATTTGATGAACCTAAACTCCCCAGAACATCAGTAATTAGACCTTAAACTGGAATTTTAAAATTATAGTTTAAGAGGAAGAGATAAAGTCAAGTAAGCTGATATCAGGCACTGACTTTAAAGATGCTCTTAAAGACTGTGTTCTTAGGGCACTGCATGTTCAGCCCTATCTCTGATAACTTTCTATCCTGACCATATAGGATTAAGTGAGACATTAAAGGGATGAGCCTGAGGCACTGCAAAATCTAGGTGTGCTTTCTAAATCATTATAAAAGCAAAAATTAACTTTAATGTGTATATATGATGCTTACTAAGTGAGTCACAAAGATTATAATGCTAAAACACATTTCCAAAAAGGTTGAAAACTGGTTATTTTCTGATTAAACAAAAATTATTTGATCTATACATATCCTATTTTGCCTATTTCAGTTAATCTAGGGTTACCACATATGTTATGATCTAAGTCCATTAAGCAGTTAGTATCTCTCAAGGTTCAGGAAATTAGACTGTTTCTATATATACACAAATTTGTAACTTGATAATTCATTGATTGAAGTTGTGGTGGCTGTCAAATTAGAGCTTACAAGGACCAACACTATTTGCTGATGACTTTGGAAGAGGTTTTCTTTCTTTTTTTTTCTTTGTTTACTCATTTCTAAAGAAACCTCTCATCATTTCAAATGGCTAAAGTCCTTAATGTGAAATAAATAACGGTTCAGAGAGGATGAGTTCAAATACAGTTCAAAAAGTTGTATCTCCTTACAGTTACACTTAAAAAGTAATCACTTAGCATGAGGAAACAGCCAATGCATACTAAGCATCAGGTGTTGTTCAACATTTGTGTACATTGTCTTTAGAGAGATCCTCAATATCAATTACCTCCAATTTTACAGATAAAGAACAGGAGAGTCGGGCTGTGGCTCGTCCACCTCTCACCTCCCTTCCAGGCCACACCATGGCCTTGCTGACCCATTTCAGGAAAAAGCTGGCTGTATGTTCAATAAAAACCATCCTGCCTAGAAAAAAAAAAAACAAAAAGAAAACAGGAGGGACAGAAAAATTAAGTAATCTGGCTGTGGATAAAATGAGAGTTCCTGTGGCCAGGATTCTCACCTGGCCCTGGCTGACTAGCTCCACTGCACACCTGTGGGCAATACATGTCTGTTGACTCTGTATAAAGAGCTCCACCCAGTGCTCTGGGCACAACATGGTGGCAGAGCTGCAAGGCTGCAGGAGAGCAGAGAAGAGGCTGGAGTGGTGGCAGCGCTGAGGACAGAGGCCCAGACGACGGCTGTGCGGGATGACTGTGTAGAGAAGACGGCTGTGCGGGATGGCTGTGCAGGCAGAGAGGCCCAGAGGACGGCTGTGCAGGCAGAGAGGCCCCAGAGAGGCCCAGAGGACGGCTGTGTGGACAGAGGGGCTCAGAGGCAGAGACAAGCTTGCTGCATGCAGACTTGCTCTGAGTGAATGGGATTCTAGTGACTGACCTGCCACCTGGAAATCAAGTTGGGTATAACCCTTTCACCCCAAGAACGTTTTGCTGTCAATTTCTTTGGTCACATTGAATCCATAGCGAACTTGCCTGGGGTTGAAACCCATTGGCAAGACACTGGCCCAAATCACACTACAGTTAAGTGCCAGAGGCAGGATTACAACAGTGACTATTCAACCTTAATGTGGATGTAAATCCCCTGGAGGTCCTTGATAAAATTCTGATTCTGTAGTTTTGTTGTGGGACCTGAGAATCTACATTTCTAACAGGTCAATGGTCTTGATACACAGGCTTCTAAGTAGTAAGATCTCACAGGATTCAGTGAAGGTCCTCGAGATGCCCTACTGTTTGGCTGCCTTAGGGTGTATGCACGTTTAGTCAGGGAGGTTCTGGATATTAGGAGCTTCAGTTTACAGAGAAGTCCCAAGCTATGCTTTGGGATTTTGTTCCGGGCAAAGCTGTGATCATACGTCAATGCCATTCTCTGACATTTGATAGATTTCTAGTGGAGCATTTCTTTCATTAGGGAGTAATTTATTTCCATTTAGCTGGAATATCTGTTTTTTATAATTTTATGTTTCCAGCACAGAGTAGGCTGCCTGGATTATTGCAACAGCTGGGCACCGAATTCCTATTTTCTTTTCTTGGACACACAGTTAGACTAACATTCCCTAGACTTCTAGCCTGCAGTTAGCTGTAGCCAGTGACTGAGTTCTAAATAATGGAACATGAATGGAAGTGACATGTGCCAACTGCAGGTCTGGCACAGAAAAACCTTGTGTGCATGTCTGCCATGTTCTTTCCTCATCTGCCTGCTTGAAGCAGAAAAGCATGGATCTTTTGAAAGCCACATGCTGAAGATGGCAGAGCCACAACATTGAAGTTTAGGTCTTGCTCATCAGTAACATCTGTTTGGGCTTTATGTGAGAAATTACTGTTGTGTTTAAGCCATTATGTATTTTTAGTTTATTTCTTCTAGCACGTTTAGTCAGGGAGGTTCTGGATATTAGGAGCTTCAGTTTACAGAGAGGTTCCAAGCTATGCCTCAGGATTTTGTTCTAGGTAAAGCTGTGATCATATGTACTCATTAGTAACTATTTCCTGCATGAGAGGAAGTACAGTGAGAGGAAGTATGTGATCTTGCTTGTTGATTCAGGAACAAGTTAAGGAGAGAATGTTTGTGCTATAAAACTACATGTCTGAAAAATGGGCTCATAGATAAGAATTTGGTTTCTCCTGCAGGAGCCTCCACAATAATGGCCTATTTTGGCACACTTTTGGCACTTGATAGGGCAGCACTGCCAAGGTCTGTACAATTTTCTAGATGGTGTAAGTGCATCATCTTCAGATCAGCATTTTTTTCAGTGTTATTTGATTTCCAAAGATATGGTTTTACCCTTCTTTTTTTTAAACAAGACAACCAACCAACCAACCAACCAACCAACCAACCAACCAACCAACCAGAAAAATGCTCATAAATGTAGAGAACAAACTGGGTGGGTTAGGAGAATGGGCAAAACAGATGAAGGGAATAGAGAAGTCATAAAATAAAGAGGTCATGGGGATGAAAAGTACAGCATAGGGAACATAGTCAATATTGTAATAACTTTGTATGTAACAGATGGTAACTACACTTATCATGGTGAGCATTTCATAATGTATGTAACTTGCTGAATGATTATGTTGCACCTGAAACTAATACATATATTACATATATAATATGTAATATTATATGTAAACTACAATTCAACAAAAAAATCAAACAATAACAAAAACACAAAGAGGTGGGTTTAAAAGCTGCTTTTTGTTCAATTTTGCTGGAAGCAGAAATTTTTATTTAAGAGCTGGAAAGTGAATGGAAGTGAATGGCTAGTTGGGTAAAAAAATAAAATCTCAAATCTGTAACTTTAAATTAACATTTACCTTTCACCCAAAATATTTTCAGTCCCTGAATGATGACCGATAACCTCCATTGCTAATTCCTGAACTCTAGACCTCCCCTGTACCTTGTCTGAGAAAACGCAACTTAAAAAAATAAATGATAATAATACATTTTAAAAGCCTTTTTGCAGAGGACATAAGAGGGAATGTTAAAGTCAAGCAGCTGTGCCAAAATGGTTGAATGGAAGAGCTCTAGCATTAGATGGCAAGGTCATCCATCCTAAGACTACCTAAAATCTACATAGTTTTGTCTATGAGGCCAACCTGCCTTAACCTTCCTGTGCCTCCATTTCTTGACCTATAAATGAGAAGTTCAGTGGTCCTCAAATATTTGGAACCAATGTCCCATTTCATATTAATTTCTAACATTTACTTTACTATTAGAAATAAAATTCATAGATAACATAACCCACCTACAATGTTTATAAAATCAGTATATTACAACCCACATGGATAGAGAGGAATATACTTAGTGAACTTAAAGACCTTGCAGTTGGGGAGAAGAGGATGGACTGAAAAAAGAATCAGTAATTTCCACAACATAGATTTTTATCATACTTCTATATAGGATAGCATATAGGGAAATACTTTTAAAACAGAGTTCAACCAAATTCAAAGACATCCTCACATTCCTTGTGTCTCTATTACCTTAACAATTTGTGTAAATGTTTTAGCAAGTAGGGCAAGATTTGAATTTGATACATACTATTTTCGTTAATAATAACTGAGTTCCTTTTACATTCTCTCCTGGTATTTTCTCCCATGACCCAATTAGAGAAAACAGCCAAACAATAAAAACCCAGCTTACAGGTATGCTTGTTCATTTTTCAGAACTTCAAATTTTAGAAAACTAGGAGAGAAGACTCACTTGAGACTATTTTAAAAGAAAACTGGAATAATTAAAAAAAAATATGTTCATGGGTGAAAATTAAGATGTTTGCATACTGTTTCTCAGAAAATGGTATGTTATCACTAATTACAGATCTTAAAGGTGCAAGAGAATAATAATGCATAAATTGAGCCTATGGTCCTAATAACCTTTTACTGGACTATAACCTACCATGGAACATTTTAAAAGAAATTTGTATTTATTTTGTGACAATTTGATTATGAGCACATCACACTCTTATTAAAAGGAATCTTAGCCATTTCCCCTCCACAGAAACATGATTCATTTTATAATAAATACTTTTGAGAAAATACGGTAAGATTAAATAACTTTTAAAAGAAGCAACTTAATGTAGATGCTCTATATTATTTTTATAAGAGCACAAGCTTTGGAGCCAGACTTGGATATGAATCCTGATTCTACCACTCAAAATATAAGATAACATATATAAAAGGCTTACAAAGTTGAGGGCACACAGAAGTCCTCAAATATTATTGACTATTTCTAATCAAAGCAATGGCAGCTATCATTTATCAGCACTTACTATGCATCCTTTATAAACATTACTGCATTTATTTCTCTTAATTAGTCATTGAATATCATTCCTGTTTAATACATGAAAAGACTGAAGTTCAGAAAAGATTGAGAAGCACGCTCAAGTTCTGAGCCCAGGTGTGCTGGAGAACAAAGCAAGACCACCAACTGCCATTAAACATTCTTGTGGGGATGGGGTGGGGGAGATAGAGTGGGAGTGGAGGAAGGGAGAAGGTATTTGGTGGGGGGGAATCCATGAGTTTACTATGAGAATTAGACATTTTTCATGTTGGTGAAAAATATGAAATAATAATATTTATGTTTTGAATTATTTGGACAATTGCCTTAAAACCCAAATACTGCCAGAACATTTCAGTGCCCAGGTTGCAATTGTATTTACTTGTACATTAAAGCTGGGTTCTGCTTTAGTTGAGGAAGGTTTATGGAGAACAGACACTGACTTAACAGGGAAGTGATGCATTCAAGCTAGAGGAAGACCAAATAACACCACGATGTGCTAAACAAATGAAAGTAATAGTCTGAAGAGTCACAAGACAGTAGTGGGAGAATTGAGTCACCATATTGCACACGGCAGGAGGTGCACACTGAACTCTAAAGAACCTGCACGATAGCACTTCATACCATAATCACACTACAAGTGACAGTTTCACTTTGGCAAAACAATCATCCATCATATTTAATTAGTGTTACTTTATATTTTGTACTTTTGCCTGTGTCTGATCTTTAAAGTCTTTTGGTTTCATAGGTGTGCCAGAGCTATAAGCATAAGCCTTTTACATGTAGCTTTATGTTAATATGTAATTACATAAATAACAAATAAATAAAAAACTGAGGAGCAAAGAGAATTTTTCCTTATTAAAAGGGACTGTGCATTATTCAAATTTGAGAAACACTGCTCTATATACTTCATTGCTTGTGTTTGTAGATTTCAACCTCTATCACCACCTTACCTCACAGGATTTATGGGGAAGATTAAATAAGATAATGGATGTGTGAGGGCCTGGCTCACATAAGGAATTACAATAGTAGTTCTGTCTCCTTTCTGGAAACAGGGAAAATATGGAAGCCAAATACAGTCTACACTCTTTTATTCTAAGTGTGGTCTTAGGAAGAGGAGAATTGATACCACAAAGGAGCTTGTTAGAATCTGAGACTCCCAGGCTCCATGGTAGACCTACTTTGTCAGAATCTGTATTTCAACATATTTCCAGCTGATTTAAAATATATACATTAGAATTTGAGGAGCTGTAGTCTAGGTCTCCATAGAGAAGGTTGACAGTGAAACTCACTGAACTTTGTACTACTATTTAGGTTAACTTTGGTGATACAGAAATGCGAGGTGTAAATGTCCGAAAAAGACTGTCCTATTTTGAGATCCAATATAAAAATTCCCGTTTTACTACTGGTACTTCATAAGCTGTGTTTGCATGGAGTGGGACCCTCTTTAAAAGAGATCTAACTTCTAACATAAAAGGACCAAAAAATATTTTAAATGCAAAATATCAATAAAATCTTTCTGAATTTTGCATAAACGAATTTTAAGATCGTGTCAATCAGAACATTTTTAGGTCTCCTTTGCCCAACAGCAGTTAAAATCATGTACACACGTTAAGCTCTTATTTAAATATGTTAGCCCTGAAGATTTGGTCTGACAAAGTCCTGGCTCAGTTTACAACTGTGTGCTTACACTAACAAAACACATTACAAAAAACATATGATTGTTCATACAACACGTTTTAGTTTTAACTATTCAAGAAAAATACTAAATCACATTCAGCAGTTGTGATTTTGTTAGTATAATTTACCTAGAGAATACCTATGCTTTTCTTCTTGAACTCAGTGGCCCTATACATTTAAGGCATGCTATACTTATAAAGATTCAAAAATACTCTTCTTGGAAGCATGGAAAACAAAGTTAACAACTAATATCCAAGAGAGCCACTAATATCTAAAAATGACCTTGACACCATCTGTTTAAGGGCCATTTTGGTAGAATCAAAACTTGAACTCTTACTTATTGCTCTATGTTCTCTGCATAAGGGCCACAGAAACCACATTCAAAGAATGTAAAGCAAAGCAGACTGCTGTCTGTATACACATATATACATGTATGTGCATATGTATGTATGTAATGTAAAAATGGTTAGGCCTGTTAGGTAATTCTTATAATGTCTGGGTTTATGATATGACCAGGTAGAACCCTCCTCTACCCTTCACGGTCTCAGGCAATTACAAACCAAGACTCGTTCATCAACTATGAGGTATATTACTGACAGTAAATGTAAAACACTATAGGGAATGTTGATTATGATGTCCAGAACTTAGAATCACAACTGAAACTCACTGGGGTAATTCCAAATTAGAAGTTTATATGTTGTCCTGTAGTCTTTTTGGTCCTTAATACAATCAATTCACTGTTCATAGAACAATACAATTCTTCTCTGTCCCAGTATTTCAAAATCGAGTAATTTCTGTTCATATATTAAACAATTTAAAGTCTACATACATACATACACAGGCAATGTATCAAGGAGAACATAAAAAGTGATTTTTAGCTTACACTGAAACTACTTTTTTATCATTTTCCTCTGAACTTTTACAAAGCAAAAATTAAACTATTACCTACAGTTTGAATTCATTAAACAATTCCTAAGCAAACAGAAAGCAGGTAGAAATAGGCCAGCCATGTTTTACAACTAGAGTGGTTATTATTCATCCCTTTCTAGAAATGGGAGATACTTTAATCTTTTTAGACTTCAGATATTTGATCAAAAATCTACATCCATTTTTCCTAACAAAAATACCTTAAAAATCCCTGCTGTTTAGTCTCAAACTACTGTAGGTGGATTCTTTTGAAAAAAGAGAGTACTACCAATGAAATAAGATATATATTAAAGAAAAGAAAAATCTTTAAAATACAGACTTTAAGAGTCTAAGCCTTTTAGAGTCAAATAAAGATAGCTTTTTTCAAGAGGTGATTTTTGCTGTCAAGAAACTTGGATATAGATGAGTTAAGAAAAATTCAAATACATGCTGAAAGAAGAAATGTACTTGTTTTAAAACTGTATTATGCCTTGCATGGATTAATTAATGAAATTAACTTAATGTTTGTAAGTTGTTTCTTCTTCGATGTAAGTAGCATTTGGCAAGACCAAAGTTGAATTAAATTGAAGACTTGGTAGTGCTTTGGATTAGTATCATCTGCTGCTGGTCATCTCCATCCAGCTACCCTTTTATCCTCTCATGTGTCCTTGAAAATGGCATGTGTTATCCAGGAGAATCAACTTTCTGACAAAGGCAGACATACAATCAATGCTACTTAATCACTTCAACATGAAAGTCACTATGTCCCCCTCCTAGGATTTAGTACACTGGAAAAACTTCATTACATAACACTTTAGACATGAAAAACTATATAAGCATGAACTTGGTCAGATATCAAATTTAGTTCCATTAGGAAGAGCAGCCCTTATCTTTAGTCACTCTTGAATTGTGAAATGAAGTTAATATGAATATAGTCCCATATTACCTTCATACTGTAGGAAATCAACTGATCTAGAATCTTGCTACATATAGAATCTGCTTGCATTAACTAAACATTGACATACCGATATGAACATAGTGAAGGGACATCCTTTTAAAATTACTGACTATAAGAAATTGTACATATAAATTTGCCTTCTTTCAAATGGCAAAGCTTGCTTCCTTGTTACCTATAGAGGAAATGATTCAGGCTAGATGCCAATTAGAGGTAGCTAAATCCATTTTTAAAAAAGAAAATGTTGGCCTATTTTTATAATTGCTCCTAGTGAAAAGATACTTCACATATGATCTAATAACTGATTGAAGACGAAGCTAATTTTTCAGATTTTTAAAGCTCAAGGTTCAAGGGGTTAAAGGAGTACTGTTTGAGAGAAAACTTAACAGCAGACATCTGACTAGCTGTCAGGACCTGATGACCTCGGGAACATAACAGGAAATTCTCAACAAACAAACACATATAGGAACAAGTGGTTTTGATTTCTGACACAAAGTAAATGTGCCCATTACATGCAAAAAGCAAGAGTGCCTATCTAAGAAATTTAAAGCCCCTTCCTGTTAATATGGGAAAATTCAGAATGGGGTAGACGCAACTATAGGGGAATTTCTCTCTCATAAATGAGAAGTGTTTCTTTTACCTCCACTGAAGAATTAATTTGGACATAGTAGAATGGGACCCTTGGAAGCACTAGTCTTGAGCACATCAGAACAGAAGGGTTCTACTTTTTCTTCTCCAAACTGTCACTGTACAGATTACATGATGGGGTGAGAGAGAAGGTGGGTGGATACAGGAATCAAAAGGAATATGAAGATACCCAGATGGAAGTTATAATGGTTTGAACTTAATTCAAGAAGAAATGTTTTAAATGGCGAACAGATGCCTCTTACTAAAGTGCAGTACTGAGGGAGGAGTAGGCCAGAAGAAATTCTGGACAAAGCAGGAAGGCAATCCTCAGGGTTGGGATTCTGCACTGACAGTTCTTGTCCCAAGAAAAGAAAAATCACTCAAAAGGTGCCAAGAACAAGAAGAGTGCCTGGTAGCATTCCCTCAAGTATATTTATTATCACTTAAAAATGAATTAAAGACACCACACAAACTCCCCTAGCATTTTTCATCCAAAGACATCAAAGCCCTTTCTAAATGCTATCCTCATGATACCTCTGTGAGGTAGGTAGCATAACTAATTTTTATTCATAAGCAAGCTAAGGCACAATCAGAGCCTAAGTGGCAAAAGTGGCCTGGAATTTTGTTCACTACAACACACTCCCTTCAGATTGTTGGCAACTCAAGAGACACTGCTCGGGAATGTCCTTGGAGAGAGAGTAGCCCTAGGAGCCAAGAAAATTCACTCATGACTCTAGGAAGACAGCACCTTCTGATGGCCCATAGATGGAGTCTCAGGAGAGGCCCTTCATTTAAGAGTAGCAACAAATGCAGTGCTTTTGACTCAGGAGACCAAATCACTCATAATTAAAGGAAAAGGCTGAAGATACAGTCTTCTTTTCTCCTGTTGAGACCAGAACAGTGGCAATCTTAACAAATCACATAATCCAAGGAACTTTAGTCCTTAAATCTTAGTCTTAATTGGTACAGTAAAATTCTAAGTCCCATATTTTGCTAGTGATTTTGATCAGATACATTTCCACATCCTTGATCCCAGACAATTCTCTTTTATCATAACCAAATTATCTGTATAAAATGTAATGCCAGGATCTGAAGCAAACAATGCATCCGGTGAGCACATATTGGTTCTATATTTTTTGAGAAATGCTTAAATACATGAAGGAAGCGTGCAAGGTTAAAGAGATGACGTGGACAATATTGGTGGCTTGTCTAATGGAGAATACAGTTTCTATTAACAACCCTGTAAAAACAAACATTTTCATTAGATACAAATATACAAATTTAAAATAAATGTGCAGTTCAGAATGGCCTACCATTTTCAGCAGCTTATGTGCCAGAAAATATAGTCAATAAAAAAATACCAGAGAGGTGGAGACAAAAGGCTCTCTGGATCTGAACAGCAAAAATGAGTATCACTTCAATAGGTAGCAATTAGTGGAGAAAGTGGTGTACTTGGAAACCAGTAGCACTGATAGATGGCAGGTCACAAATCTGGTGATGGGGGATAAGATGTATAGTAAGGCCCATTTTCCTGTGGAAAGAAAAAAAAGACAAGAATATTAAATAACAGACCACTAAATAACAGACTACTTGATAGTGCAGTATAAAAGACCAATTTAACTGGGAATGTGAAACAAAAGGATTTATAGTCAACAACACAGTGCATGTAAAATGTCCAGCCCATGCCTGGTTCTGAGCAGGTCCTCAGTCATTAGACTAGTTCCACTAGAGTCAGTCAGAGCTGGTATAAAGTAGGTAGATCTAATCATGACGCTAATATTTTTTATTAATATTACTACTTACTGAATATTCTATATGCCAGATTACTTATCAGTACTTTTTTTCATTATTCCTTTTTATTCTCACACAATGCCATGAAGTAGGTAACATCCCCATTTAACAGAGGTGGAAACTGAGGATCACACAGATTGCCTGACTCACCTGAGGTCCCCTAGCTAGTACCCAAGAGAGCTTCAATTTAAATCCATGTCTATTCAGATCCAATAACCAGATTCTTTTGTTAAACTGTGTTGTCATACTATGTGTTGGATCTTAATGTAGAGTTAAGAAACAAAACAAATTATCACAGCAAAATTTAATAACCATAACTGTTTTGGCAGAAGTGAGTCCTCTCCATGACATGCCTGAGTGGCAAGGCTTGTAACAATTACAATTCTCAGGGGGTTTAGTTCAAGATCAAGATGAAGAATTAAATGCCAGAAGCAACAAATCAGTGCTAAGAAGAAATTTTCTGACCTCATTTTGGCTAACTTCATTTTAATAAAAATCAAGATAGTCACCTTTATGGTAGATGGACTCTAGATTAGATTTATAAGACTTAAGATTTATTTCTCATTTTTAAGGAAAGTATTTCCTTGACAAATAACTTGTTTTTCAGTAAACTATAAACAGAAATTACTTATCATGTGAGATAACAGAAATGGAGACTAACAGATAGGATGAAAATGGCATTGCTTTATGCTACATTTACATTATTGTTATCTATCTGGTCTATCTATCTGGTCTTGAACATAATAGGCAGTTAAATGTTATTTCAGTGATTAAGTGAATCAAAAACTCTGCTTTCTTCAGGGCAGATGCTTCGGAGCAGGAATTAACCCTGGTTCCATAACCAGGGAAACAAGAGGATATCTAGGCAAACTTCCTTTATTATTTCTTATGATAAACCTGAACAGGTACAAAAAAGGCTAAAAAAAATGTTAGGTAGAAACCAGTCCTAGGACTGACTATCTTTCAGGATACTTGAAAGAAATTAGATACTTTTTTTTTGTTAGAATTTCCTATCAACATCTTTATACCTGATTCCTTGCTTATAGTCTTATCCTTCTCTAGTCATTGTCTACACTGTTTCTTTTTTTGGTATCATTAATATGCAATTACATGAGCTTTAGCCATTTTTCTGAACAGGAATATAATGGCAGTTCCCCCTTGCCAAACACTTGCCACCCAGCACAAAGCCACAATACTGCAGCCTAACGTGAAGCTCCAGGGTCTGGTCATCTGCCCTCTGCCTGCCCTTTTCACATCGCCTCCTAATACCTTTGGTTTCCTCCCTCTCTGATCTTTATGTATAGATGGCCTTACATCTCTATCTTAGAAAGTTCTAGTATAGGTATGGAGAGATGATCCAATGAAGCAAGTATTAGATTATAGGTTATTGTGCCAAATTCTGATTAATCACATTAATAGGCCTGTATTTGATATACAAAATATAACAAAAAACTAAACCAAACACACAAAACAAAAAAACAAAACCAAGCTCGAGTGTGGTGTTCATACTTAATGAAAGCCTGCTTACGGCCTTAAAAAAAGTCTCGTTGGCTTAAAAACCAGTCCTTCGGATTTTCTAACTAATACAATCCAACTTGTGTATTTCCATCCCAGAAGATAAATTATAAATCCAGATACTAGCTTTGAATTTTCATTCCAAATTTTTGGTATCAAAATGTCTTTTAGTGACTTTCATATTTCCTGCTATCCATTTTTTTTTTTAATATTAAGGAGAGTGATGTAGAGTTCAAAAGAATAACAGTAAGGCCATTTTCTCCTCCAGCAATCTGCAATAAATACACTGATGGTCTTTTTGCCCCTCCCTTAATTCAACAATCTTTGTTATCTATGATCCAGTTGTTCCAAAAGCCAAACATGAAATTTTATTAGCCATTAGAACACAAATACTTTGCTTTTTACATAAAGAGGAACAGAAATCATGGCTGAAGTTAGAGAAATGTTAGACAGAAAATGTGTCACAGAATATTTATTTTACTGTATTCATGTTGTATAATTAGGGGAGAATAATTCAATTCAAACTTAATATAACCTTCAAATATATTCCCTGGTTCATGCATAAAGATAGGTAGATGAGCAGCAATTATTTAAGGAGATTGATGATCTTTTGGCCAAGCATGTTACTTACTTTTGTTTTTTGTTTTCCAGCTACTATGTAAGTGTGAATAAACACAGTGGAACAGAGCTTGGATGAAATTCAAGGGTACCTCTTCATTAGTGTTCATAATTGCATCTATAATAATACTAAATCATTGGTTGATGTTCTTAAAAAATTATACAAACTTATATCAAAATTAAACTTTCAGTAAATACTACTAAGAGAGGCTACCTGGTTTACAATTAATGCTGAATATCGGATACTTTTGGATTCTTCTGTCTCTATTTTACAGAGAATGAAAGACATTCAATCTTCAAGAAAATCTGAGGTATGTCTCAAAGGTGGTAGAAAACTGACAATACAGGCAAGGATTACCTTCAAACCTACAGGAGAAAGACCCCTCATTGAAACGTTTACTAGGGAAAAAGCCCTGTCTGAGGACAAAGAGTTCTGCTTATGTTATTGCAGGAAAAGAATGCTAAATGACACTATCAAGTTTACTAAAATGCACTACTTGCATTAATATCATATTCTAATGAAAGGATGTTGTGCTTACAAGCAACGCGCTATATAACAGCATACTACATACACCAGGTGAGGGAGAACTCCTGGTACTTCTTACCCTGGCATCATATTCAAGGACAAAAGGAGGAAAGTCAATCTGTTCTGGTGATATGGCGGAAAATAGCTGGTGGAGGCTATCCACATGGTGGATTTTGTCCTTCAGTCCTGAGACAGAAAAGGTGGTAAAAAACCATGTTGATACCTGATTAATAGAAGAGAAAAATAATTTAAGCCAGTGGCCAGAGTTAAAGATACAAAACAGGGTTTTGAAATTTATACCAGAGAAAAACTCAATTTAAAAATTGAAACTGATGTCAGAAAAATCTTGTGATAAGCAGTGTTTTTCGAAGTGCAGGTTGTAGTTCATCACTGAATAATGGAATCGATTTAGTGGATTACGAACAAACATTATTAAAAACAACAGAGAAAGAAACACAACCAGGCAGAAATTAGGAGGGACAAGCTTGTTGGTTACTTATCTGTGGGTCCCAAGTGTGCTGTGTTGCAACACACGCTTCATACTCTGAGCTGTGGTCAAAATCACTGCCCTATTTGATAGAATCATTGATTTATTGGTACTCTGAAGATGGTCAACATCTCCAAATCTCACAAACTCTTTTCACTTTTCAAGAGATTGAAAAAATTTCTGCCAACTATCTGAGAAATTTATTTTTCAGTTGACACTTGGCACGCAGTCTCTTTCTCAGTCAACCAAAGTGAAATCTTCTGGGATGTGGAGCCATCTTTGCTTATTTCACTTTATAACATAAAATCCCTTATAAAAGTTAGTTTGTGAAAGTTGTTAGTTCCAAAAAGAGTTCTTGATAACAAACAATACTGACATAAACTAGGCAACAGCTAGAATTTACAAATTATTGTTTATCTCTCTATACTGGCAATCGTAATTAGTCATGCTTATCAACAGCTTGCACAACAGTTCTGTGAGGTAGGTATAATATTGTTGCTATTTCCATTTTATTTATAGAAGAAAGTAACATGTACATATGAATTCTCAGTGCACTGGCACAGGACACTGCAAATGTATAAAGCCATACCACTTATGCAAATCATTTTGTTAATTTCTCTAAAATGCTATCACGTTCTTCAGTGGGTGTTCCAGACCTTTCATGTATTCCAGGCCCCTAATATGATGTAACTTTCTTCACACTTATGAGAAAAGACACAGAATAAGAGAGACAACACTGAACTAACCTACCTCTACCAGAATTCTATTTAAACTTTGACTCGTCAGATTCATTTCCACCATTTCTCCCTTAGAGATTGATTATTCCCTCTACTGAATTCACATGGCCTTATGCTTAAACCTCATTTATAGCACTTATTCCTATTCCTAGTATTCAATTACTTATTCATTTCTATAATTTCCCTAGTACTTGGCTATACCACCAATGGCTGGCTATAAGGTCTCAAATATTAATATTACCCTTTTATACCTTCTCCACTCCCATCTTCAAAGTTTATTTGGAGGAAGGTGGTGGTGAGGGAGACGGAAGGCATCTAGCCTTGCCAGAACCAAGCAAGTTAGGTCAAATTAACAGTCATTTAATTACATACCAAAAATCAGCTTATTACATCAGTTTTTAAAAGGCACATGCTAGTATATATCTGATACAAACTTCTGCAAATTGGATTAGTAAATGTTCCAGGTTAAGGAGCTCTACAACCAGCCACAGAGGCAGCTGATAAACTAGTAAGAGCTATGGAGACTACAGATTTTAGTGATTCTAAAAGAACTTAAGAATGTAAGATTGTAGAGTCAGAACAGAGAACCTCAAAGATGTGTTAGGAGATACATTTGTGCAGGGAGTTAAACATCTGTTGGTCATCTACTATGTGCTAAGCATTGTACATGGTTGTGATATATAAGAATAGTGATATGGCCATTTCTCAAAAGGGGCCAATCCTTGTAAGAGGTAGACTATAAGCATAGAAATAACTACTTCAGGCAAAATGTACTAAACACAACGAATGCCTAAAGAAACACTTGAACACTTATTATATGCAAAGAGTTGTGCTACCTGGAAAAAGGTATAAAATTATAGAGCTAACAGAGTATGCAGAGCATTTTTGTGTCACTGTCTCTTACCTCAGGACTTTTTTACACATTCTTCTTTTAGTCCAGATACTCTTTTCCTCAATTCCTTACCTGGCTAATTGTTTTTCAGAGTTCAGATTAGAGTTCACTTCAGTGGGGATGCTTTCTTTGACTACCCTCCACCCAAATCTGGAAAAGAAGCTTCCTTCTAAGTTTTCCAACAACACTGTTTACTAATATTACTACATAATTAGCATTCTGTATTGTATTATCTGAATCTCTAAATAGACTGTAAAGGGGATAGCCTATTATTCAATACGATATTCATTGGGTCTAATTAATGACCAACACAAAAAGGAATTCAATGTGTTGAAAGAATTAACAAATGGGGGAGTATTACTTTAATGGCCTTACTCCAATTAGTTTTAAATGGACTTACTACTTTAATACTATTTAGGGATGGTCTAATATTCCTTCATTCTACAATAAAAATAAATTGAACTTCAGTGTGGGTCTCTTCATCTATAAAATGAGCAAGTTAGACTTATATGATTTTTAAGGTCATTCTTAATTATGCAATTTTGTGAATGAAATCTTGAATATGTGGTACCATACTGACATGGTGGGATAGTGGTAGTAAATTCAAAGAGAAGCCTAGGTTGGGGAGGAGTAGGCAGTGAGCTTAGACATGCAACCTTTAAAAGAGAAACACATTTCTCTTGGTATTATTAGCAAGAGAAAATTACACAAAGTACCCAGAAGTGGAAACTTGTTAAAAATTTTCTGTTCAGGGCAACCCAAGGGCACTTTTATTTCAGTTTTATATAGCTTAGCTTTTAATTTCAATTATTTGTAAGTCATAAGTACACATTTATTTAGGTAAAGTTCCATTACTCAGTATTTACTATTTTGAAAAGCTGAAGAAAATTTAAAATTTGAGAAAGGGCTGCTGTGATATTTTGTGAATGCTAGAAATCCTTTCTCCCAATTACTCACAAAAGCAAAGCCAAGAACACAGGATCACAGAAGAGTATAAACTAGGAAAAGACTGTTCACACACATGTGCACTCAAGTAATCTACTAGAGCCAGAATCAACATGGGTGTAAATACTATTAGTTTGCATTCTATTACACTTCAAAGAAGAAGAAGAATAGTGATTTATATAAGCAGTTAATTTATTATCACTTTGGGTGGAGTGGCCTGGAAAAGATACGAGCATGGAAATCAGAACAGTGTGATTCAATTGTTTTATTATCCCTTGATTTCATCTCATTATAATTGCAAACATACCATTTATAGTTTTTGACTTAATATAATAGTGGATGTCATTACACGTGGGTTTTATTCCCTCAGTGGTCCCTCCTTTTCCCCATCCTAAGTTATGGAGAAGTAACATAATGCCTCTTACTTCATACATCTGGTCTCCAGCTCTGCCCAGCCGGCCATTAGCACAGACTCCTATCTGTGCTCTGTCTAGCCAGTGCCTCTGACACTGCTGTTTCTGGAAAAATCTATCCATCTATGTCACAGGAAGAAAAGCTATTTATTGACTCTCTAGTGTGTGGAAGGAAGGGTTAAAGTCAGAGCTTAGCAAATAGTACATACATATTTGCATAAACTTGGTACAAAGGAATACTCTTTTGATAAGTTTGGTTGTGGCAGGAGTAAAAAAAAATTAAGAACATTATGAAAATGTTCATTCACTAAAGTTAAAAGAATTTTACAGTGATCACCAGTATAGCCAACACTCAGTCATTACCATTTTCCTTCTGTTTCACCAATCCCTTTAATCATCTATCAATCCATCTTACTTTTTTGCTGTATTTCAAAGTACACTACAGATATCAGTAAGCTATCCCCAAATATGGTATTCTTATCTTTAGCAACTAGAGTTCAATATTTACTCAGTTCTTTGCTATGAAATTCATTCAATGAAATGCACAGGGTTTAAGTGTACTCTGCTGTTTAGACAAATGCATGCACTTGCATAAGCAAAACTCTAAACACTTTCATAACCCCAGAGAATTCCCTCATGCTCCTCTTTGGTCATGCCCCTCTCCCCAGAGGTAAACATTCTTTTTCTTTTTTTTACCACGGATTAGTTTTGCCTGCTCTAGATATATCTAGGTATCTAGAATATCATATAAATGGAATCACACTGTATGACTTGTTTCTGTAAGGTTTCTTTGACTCAGCAAAGTGTTTTAAAGATTCCTTCATGCCGTTGTGTATATCAGTAGTATGTTCTGTTTATTGCCAAGAAATATTCCACTACAAAAATATACCAGTTTGCTTATTCATAATCCTACAGATGGACACCTGGACTATTTCCAGTCTTTGGCGGCTATGACTAAAGCCACTATGAACATTCTTGTGGAAATCTTTTTATTTGCATATATTTTCATTTCACTTGGGGAAATACCTGGCAGTGGAATTGCGGGGCTGCAGACTAGATATATATTTACTTCGTAAGAAATTGCCAGAACTTTTTTCAGAGTGATTGCAGAATTTCCCATTCCCATTTATAACACAATTGCTCCAAATCATTGGCAATACTTGACATTGTCAGTTTTTAAAATTTTAGACATTCTGGTGGTAGTGTAGTGGTATTTCATTAATAGTTCCTTAAAAAAGTTTTATTAAAATACAATTGATATATAATAAACTGCACACTTAAAGTATACAATTTAAGTTTTGACATATGTATATACCCATGAAACCATCATCACAATCAAGAAAATGAACATACCCATCACTCTCAAAGGTTCTTAAGAGTCCTAACACTTCTAATTCTGCCTGTCCCTCTCTTTCCACAGGTAACCGCTCTACGTTATTCATGAGTTTGTATTCCCTAGAGTTTTATATGCATGTAATCATACAGTACATACACTTGTCTGGCTTCTTTTACTCAGCATAATTATTTTGAGATTCATTGGTGTTGTTGCATATATCAACAGTCTATTCTTTTTTATTGCTGAGTATTATTCTGTTATATAGATATACCACAGTTTGGTTATTAGTTCTCCCAATGATGGACATATGTGTTGTTTCTAGCTTTTGGTTTTATAAAATAAAGCTACTGTAAGTATTTGTGTACAGGTCTCTGTATGGATATGTTTTCATGTCTTGGGTAAGTACTTAAGAGTGGATAGTTGGATCACATAGTAGGTGTATGTTTAGCTCTTTAAATAAACAGCAAAATTCTGTTCTGAAGTTTTCTGTAATATTTCATATTTTGATTAGCACTGAGTTCCAGTTCTTCCACATTCTAACATTTGGTATGATAGGATTTTCAATTTTAGTCATTCTAATAGGAGTGTAATGATTTCTCATTTTGGTTAAATTGTAGTTTCCTAATGACTAATCACGTTAAACATCTTTTCATGAGCTTATTTGCCATCTGCATAATTTCTTTGGTAATTAAAATGTTTGTACAAATCTGCCCATTTCTAAATTGAGCTGTTTCCTTGTTATTGATTTTTAAGATTTCTTCATATATTCTAAAGACAAGTCCTTTATTAGTGAAATACTACACTTACAAAGACTTTCTCTCAGGCTGTGGCTTGTTTTTCCATTCCCTTAACAATTTTAAAAGGGCAGAAGTTTTTGATTTGATGAAGTCCAATTTTTTTGTGGATTGTGCCTTTGGCGTTGTGCCTAACAAATCTTTGGTCTACTCAAGGTCACAGAGCTTTGTCTCTTACATTTCTTCTAGAACTTTAATAGTTCTATGTTTTACATTTAAGACTTTGATCCATTTTTGGAATTTTTGTATGCAATGCAAGATATGGATCAAAGTTTTTTTTTTTTTTGCATATAGATATTCAATGGTTCCAGTACCATTTGTTGAAGGAACTATCATTTTCCCACTGATTTGATTTTGCACTTTTGTCAAGAACTGGTTATCTGGATCTTTTTCTGGATTCTCTATTCTGTTCTGCTGATGTAAATGTCTGTCTTTATGCCAGTATGTCACTGTCTTGAGTACTGTAGCTTTAGAATAAGCTTTGAGAGCAGGTAGTGTTGGTCCTCCACTTTGTTCTTCTTTTCCAAAGTTGTTCTTAATATTTTAATTCTTTGCATTTTGACTGGTCAATTTCTTCAAAAACCTTGCTGAAATTTTGGTGGAGATCAAACTGAATCCATAGATTTAACAAGAATTGTCAATTTAACAATATTAAGTATTCAAATATATTAATACAGTGTATGTCATTTATTTACATCTCACTTAATTTCTCTCATCAATGTTTTACAGTATACATAACTTGTACACTGTACAAGTCTTCTACCTATGTTATATGTATCCCTAAGTACTTAATATTTTTTGGTGCTAGTATAAATTATATTACTTTTTAGATTTCAATTGTTTGTTGTTAATATATACAATCAATTTTGAGACATTGATTCTAAATCCTGAAATACTGATAAAACTTACTCATTAGTACCAGCAGCTTTTATGATACCAGAGGGTTTTCTGTTTCTTTTTCTTGCCATGTTGCATTGGCTAGAACTTTCAGTACAATACTGAAGAGAAGTGGGGAGAGTAGACATTCTTACAAAGATGTACTAATTACTAAGGTAATCCTGGTTGTCTCCATTAAAGAAAAAATTTCAGTTGCTACTGGATGAACAAAATATAAATGATGATGGGATTTTGGGAAATAGTCAAGTACTACTTTCCTTGACTTCTAAAGAAAGAAAAAAAAAAAACAGCCACCTACTGAGCATAACAAAATAGTAAAAAGTTAACAATACATATCTGATAAGACTATGTAATCGTAACAGGGTGTGGAAAACCCTGCATTTAACTTATTGGTCATACATTATACATTTTTTTTTTCAGTCTGGCCAAGCATTGCTCCCATAAGTACTTAATTAGCACTTACTGTGCTGTTGTAATACTGAGGAACCAAAAGGAAACTTGCAATTTTTAAAAGAATTACATAAATACTTGATGGAAATTTTCAAGTTGGTATTTGAATGAGAAACTCAACAATTTTGTAAACAATGAGAAATCCCAATCCCAAAGTGGAAACATTTTCTTACTGAGGTTTTCACTCATCTCTTAATTATAAAATATAATGAGGACTTTTCGCAAGTTATCTTACTTAATTTCTCCAGAGTGCTTTAAAATAATGACAATTTCTGCTGTCACGGATGCTTTTTCCATTCGCTGGCATTCGTCAATCTTGGTTCTACTGATTTTTAGATTATTTCTAGATTTTAGATTACTTTTAGATTATTTTTAGGTTCTTGCTCTCCTTCCCTGATCCCAGGATAATGTCTTAGTTATCTTCTTTGCATGAAGTCTCTCTGTGGTTTTCTTCATTAACACATTTAAAGAGTTACAGCTCTGTTTACTTGATGGTGACTGACATCCATATTCTAATTTATATCCCAATCCATGATCCCTAGTCACAGATGACACAGTCCTTTCTCTCACCTGCACTCATCTAATAAAACACTAAATCCTGTTTTTTTATGCCCAAATGAGCCATCTTTTATTTAAGCCCCAGTGAAAAATTCAGATGCTTTTTCTTCTTCTCTCTTTTTTTGGCCTAGACCACAGGTTGGCAAACTTCTGCAAAGGACCCTATGATAAATATTTTAGGCTTCTATTATTTACATTCATTATAAGAAAATTTCACTAGGAAGGCCTGAAGGCACTTGAAACAGTGCTCAACTGGAGGCAGGACAACATGAATATTGACTAGGAGGCTGCTGTATACTTTTAGGTAAAAGATGATGGTGGGATGAACTAGAGGCAGTTCAACATGTAGGTCTAAGCGCAGGAATGATGATGATGTTATGACGACAATTCACATTTACTGATTGTTTATTATATGTCAGGTAATATTTTAAGCATTTTTTACATGTATTAACTAATTTCATCATTTCCCAAACCCTAAAGGTGGTACTATTATAATTCCTATTTTTATAGAAGATGATGTTAAAGCACAGAGGAGTTATATAACTTACCTGAGACGGTAAGTTGGTAACTGGCAGAGCTAGATGAGAACCTATATTACCTGAATCTCAAACCCATGCTTTTAAACATTACGCCTTTTACCATCTCCCCAGAGATGGTACTTGGGGATTGCATTTATTTTGGAGGGTTGAAGACACTGGAATGAGAAAAGTACAGAATGAAAGAAGAGGACAGGGGACTTGGGAACACTAACACTGAAAGGATGAGCAGAGAAAGAGGGGACCACAAAGAATACTGAGAGAAAGCAGCTAGAAGCAGGAGAAAAACTAGGCAAGGTAAGTTCCAAGGTAGCCAATGCAAAGGAAGAACTGATCAACTGTGTGTAAGGCTGTTGGAAACCAGGGAAGATAAACACAGAAGAATGTCTAGTGGACATAGTAAGACAGAGATTATCTTGGTGATCAGAGGTGATTGTGGTGAGCAGCTTTAGTTGCTATAATGGGACTTAAACCAATTGGAGTAATTTAAGATGTAATGAAAAATGGAGATGGTAAGCATAGGACATATATTACACTAAACATTTTTGGTTGCAAAGGGGAGGAGAGAAAAGAATAGGCTTTAGCAAGCTTAAAAGTTGAGTTTGATCCAGAGAAATGGGAGATGGAAAGAAGATAATTTCTGAAGCGAGGTTCTTGAAGAAATGAAAATATATTGCGTACTTAGGAGTCCAAGTGTAGGCTCTGGAATTAAATTGTCTACATTCAAAATCCAGCCTTTGCTACTTATTCATTACTTACCTTGGAAAAGTTACTTAATTTCTAAGCATCAATTTCCTTGCTCATAAAGTGGGACTACTGCTCCTATCTACTTCATAGATGTAATATAAGGCTTAGATAAGAGTGTATGAGAAGAACTGGCATATAGTAAGTGCTTAGAAAATATTACCAATTATTATTACTATGGGGTCCAGAGCACAGGTAGAGGGACTGAGTTGCATTTAGAAGGAATACATTTCTGTGACAGAGAAAAAGAAGGCAATGATAGGAACAGGTGGCAGTTAAGTGTGGGGTGGGAGGTAGAAGACAGGAAGCTCCTTACTGATGTTTTCTCTGTTCTTGGCTGAGAACAAGGCAAGGTCATCAGTTGGAGTGAGTTGCTGCTGGTAGGACAGGGCTTGAGGAGAGCAGAGGGCCCCACTGGGACACTGCAAAGTGAAATATCAAAGGACTTTTAGTAGTGAAAGCCCAGTAAGTCTGCCAAGGAGCCCAAATTCACATAGCTCTGTGATTTCTTCATTAGTGCTCAGCAACCCAGACATGGGAGTGAAGAAAACAGTGTTGGAATATTTCAATATCAGATTTTAATGGATAGGTGTGATGAAAAGGTAAGAGGTCACAGGTTATTTTAGGCAATGACAAGAGTGGCTGAAGTGATGGAACATACATTTTAGATGGGGCAGGAAAGCAAACAATGGCAAAAAAAGATGGCATTTTCAGAAAAAGTAAAAGGTCCAAAAGACTAGATATCTTAATGAAGTTGAGATGTAGGACTAGATATTAGGGAAATAAATGTGGGCAAGCTATCTATATTCTAGCTCTCATGCATCTCGCAGGTTAACATGTAAGGTAGAAAATTAAACAAAACTGAAAACATAACAATGATAGACTCAAAAATCTTAAGGGGGTAAAATGCAGGAGTACCTACTAATTACAGGATTGGTCAGGAAGGTTTTCTATAGAGAGTACTTGCTGAGCTGAGATCTGAGGGACAAAGAGAAGTTGGCCATCAGTACAGGAGGGAAAGTGTCTTCAGTATCAACAGCAAGAGCAAAGCCCAGAGGAATGAAGAGCACAAACAAGTAAGGACTGAGGGGTTAACAGCTCCTAAGGGTTCCTTCGAAGATACTGGGACAAAAACATTAGGACTACAACTTGAATCACTTAAAAAGGAAGGGTAAACAAAGAAACTAGCCACCATAGTGCTGATGTAAGAATTAAGACGTTGAAATGTGTCTTAATAGGAAGGCATGCAGTGCACCTGGAATTCAAGATTTAGCTAAAAAGAAAAATACTGTACCTTTGAACGAAATGTTGGATGAACAAAATAAACAGCCTTCAAATTCCTCTTGTACCTGATTCAAAATTTAAAAAAGGGTAAATATAAGTCATGTCTAAAACCACTCACTATTAGGGATACTTAAGTCTTTGCTTGAGTATTTAAATATATTCACAGAGGAAAAACATTTTTTAAAATAGCTCTAGTTTACATATTGAATTTTAGGTGAAATGTCAAAAACAATTCAGAGAACATTTCATCATTTAAACTATCTGTTTTATAGGAGAAACTGTGTTTCTCTTGGCTACAACAGAGCCACATACAAGGTAAGACCAAGTAAACTCATATTTAACAAAAAATTTACTGTGTGCTGCTTTTCCATATGGTGCTACAATCTCTGGAATCAGATTATTAATTAAACAACAGTAAAGCCATTTAAAATTAGTGAAAATTATTAACTGAAAGTTTCAATGGTCATATTAAAACAATAGAGTTTACTATGCCCTAGGAATTGTACAAAGTTTTACAGATAATTCTCATAACAATTCTATGAGCTAAGTGCCACCACTGTCTTTATTTTAATCTTCCCAAAGTCACCCAGCCATCAAGTGGTAAAGCCAGAAACTGAACCTAGGCATTTTCTGAATGGCTCCAGAATCACACTATCACCCACTACACTACCGAGCCTCTCCAGGTGTACCTGAAACTATTTCAAAAGCCTATCAATCACCTTTGGGTCACACAAAGTTACTTGAGAGGATTTCTGAGAAATAATTCAAGCTTTTCAATTCAAAGTAAAGCCCTGTTCAAAGTTAAAGAGCTGGCTAGTGATAGAGGCAGAATTATAGTGGAAAGAAGAAGCTTCCTTACATTTATATAATATAATATCAGGAAGCAAGAGAAAATGGGATCTATTAGGCAATGAAGACTTTAATATCCCTGATTAAGATGAGATTTAATAGGAGGAATAGGATAGTTGGAAATTTATGGTAATTTGCCTTCTTTGTATACTAACTGTAATGTGGGTTTTTCATTGCAATCCATAAAGACATTATAATGCTACCAATATCAAAACAGCCACCAGGAGGGTGGAGTGCTATTTTGATTTAGAAGATCTATTAATAAGAAAAAAGATTAAAGCAGAACATTTTATCTTTGCTGTAGTGGGGTGTCATACATATACATTCTGGTTAAAATTTCCATTATCACTTCAAGGGAAATACGGTTGAATGAAAGTAATTTTCTGGCTCCAATTAAGTTGCCACGGTTCAAGTCCAGATTCTGCATTTACTGTTGTGAGACCTTGGGCAATAGACTTCACCTTTCAGAATGTCCAGATTTTCCCATCTTTCAAACGTAGATAATATTTATATTTATCTATCTACAGGTAGGACAAAGTGAATTTGTATTTAGCAAATTTATTTTGTGCCATTTTTTTTACATGGTATTAGAATATCTGGGATCAGATTATGAATTCACAAACTCACGGGTCACTGGACAAATGAAATAACATTTATTAAGTGTACTTTAATAAATGTAACACACCTTACAAATAGAAGGTAGTATTTTTCTTATTTTATATAAAAAGATTGGTAATGATCCCAAACCTTTTTCAAGGTATTTAAAAGCAGGAAAATTTACATATAAATTCATTTAAATGCAAAAATAAGTTGAAATTAAGGAGGACCTCCTAACATGAAATTATCTAATCTATGTATGATAAAAATCTTTGCTACCTGAAATACCCTTTCACAGACTTCACAGTAATGTTTGGTATTACTTAATATAGGAAAGAAAGGAGCTACTTCCCCCCTTCATAATTTGCAAAAATAACTAACTTGACATCAACAACATCGTAGAGTTTCTTCAGGAAGTCAGAGTCCAGGTGATTGTATTCGCTGGTAAGTGTGTGAAAATATACTAATACATATTCCTTCACAGCAATATGATCCATTACATGGATAAAATACAAGAGAGCCTAGAAGAAAAAGAGGAGTAAAGGTAAATATCATTTTGTACAGTCATCTATTTCACAGAGACTAAGAAAGGAAAAATCCAAAAGATTAACCTAGTCTATGCCCCAATCATTGCATATGGACATCTCAGACTACAAGTATCAATTCTCTTTAAAAAGAGCTTCAGGAAAGTGAATAATGCCAGCGTTTAATAATTCTCATAAATGCTATAATATGATCCCTTTTTGTCTTATTCTAAGTGACTGAGGAGAACAATCAGTCTTTCTCTCACATAACTCTTCAAATACTCAGAAAAGTTCTGTCAACTACCAGGTTTTCCCTCTCTACAATAATGATACCAAAATCATTACAGTCCAATTTATTTCTAGACTTTTAATCATCCTGAAGTCTCTGTTTAAAATCAGTCACAGTTTTTGTAGTCTCTACTAAGATAAAGATTCAAGGCTCCAAGTAACAATGAATTATTATAAAAGGACATTATATGTGATGCCTAACATGGTTTTCTTTGAGGGCTAATTTTCTTAGCATCTTTAATGTTGATCTGAACGAGGAAAATGGGAACGGGTTTAGTTAGTAGATGGCAAAGGGCTGGGCAGCATTTTTAGAGCTCTAAAAATCTCAAATTTAATGAAACCCAGATTGGTTAGAGAAATATTCCATTACAAGAAGGATGACATTTAAGACAGACATTAAACACAAAGCAGAGATACAATATGGATAAGGCCAGTATGACTCAGTGTGCAGCTATAAACAGTGACGAAGCTAAGAGGTAACAGCTGAAAGATTACTATCAAACAGGCTATTTCAGGGGCAGTCCTTGGCATTAACATGATTGGATGAACACGGATTAGGATCCAACTGCTACCAGAGCAGAGGAGGGCACTAAGAAAACACAGTATCTTTCCAGTTATTACCTGGTTTGGACCTTACAATATATCTCATCATCTTATATGAAATGATGCATATCAGATCACCATGCAAGTACATACCAAAACTAAATGCAGGATTGTTATTGGTACCAATCACATCATCAATGATGAGAATTAATGTGATACTGATTAATAACACAAAACAAATGACGACAGATAGAAATGTATTCATGATATAATTTGCATCAGATGAGTTTTTTCTCATCTGTGCATGTGTGTGTATGTCTATGTGTATTTATATCATTATTTCTGCTCTTACCAGATTGCTTCTGGTGCTCTTTCTATCTACTCTACCCCCTCCTCAGGGCAATTAAGATACCCATTTTCAGCTTCAAAATACCTGTCTTTAACCTAAACTTTTTTTTATTATAAAAAAGGCCGCAAGACAGAAAAATGTAGAAAACAAATTCTCTCCAAAACCATGAGATCCACTTTGACATATTTACCTCCAGTTTTTACCTTTACTCTTAAACTGACTTGTCCCAACCTCCCTAAAAAAAAACTTAAGATCAGTGTATATACAAATTAACATATCATTATTTCTCTTATAAACATTTCTCTATAGTACTTTCCTCTATAAGCATAATTTTTAAGGTCACAGAATAGTCAATTTATGGATGTGCCATAATTACCTATTAGAAATTTTAATATAATTTTGTGAGTAACATACCAGGTCCAGTGCTATTGCAATTTTGTTACACAAACACCAGTGACCAGGAGTATAAGGGCTTAGCTAGAAGCAGTTACCTATTTTTGAACAATTGTGTTTTATCTTAAAATTGTAATTTTTACACTTTTAAAGTACATAATATTGTACTATGATTAAGAATTATTAAAGTGATTCTCCTCTGCAGTCAGTTTCTAAAAAAAATGATGTTCTAGGAGGATCTACATATTATCCTGTGGATTCAACTGTCCCTTGCCTGAGTATTCGGGTTGGGCAGTTTCAGGGTATACAGCTACTTCCATACTTTGGATTATTTCCTTAGTACAAGTTCTCAGGAATGGAATTACTAGGTTAATAGGTCTGATCATTTTTACAGTTTCATCTTTGATGACAATGACTAGTATTTAAAAGTTGTGGCTTATTTTGAAGGTGAAAAAGGTATCTTACTTTCACTCACTTTTTATTTATTTATTTTATTTATTTTGGTATCATTAATCTACAATTACATGAGGAACATTATGTTTATTAGACTCCCCCCATCACCAAGTCCCCCCGGACATACCCCATTACAGTCACTGTTCATCAGCGTAGTAAGATGCTGCAGAATCACTACTTCTCTTCTCTGTGTTGTACAGCCCTCCCCATGCCCCACAGACACATTATACATGCTAATCATAATGCCCCCTTTCTTCCTCCCCATCCCTCTCTTCCCACTCATCCTCCCCAGCCCCTTTCCATATGTTAACTGTTAGTCCATTCATGGGTTCTGTGAGTCTGCTGCTGTTTTGTTCCTTCAGTTTTTTTCTTTGTTCTTATACTCCACAGATGAGTGAAATCATTTGGTACTTGTCTTTCTCCATCTGGCTTATTTCACTGAGCATAATACCCTCTAGCTCCATCCATGTTGTTACAAATGGTAGGATTTGTTTTCTTCTTATGGCTGAATAATATTCCATTGTGTGTATGTACCACATCTTCTTTATCCATTCATCTACTGATGGACACTTAGGTTGCTTCCTTTTCTTGGCTATTGTAAATAGTGCTGTGATAAACATAGGGGTGCATATGTCTTTTTCAAACTGGGCTCCTGAATTCTTAGGGTAAATTCCTAGAAGTGGAATTCCTGGGACAAATGGTACTTTTTGAGTTTTTTGAGGAACCTCTCTACTGCTTTCCACAATGGTTGAACTAGTTTACATTCTCACCAGCAGTGTAGGAGGATTCCCCTTTGTCCACATCCTCACCAACATTTGTTGTTGTTTGTCTTTTGGATGGTGGTGATCCTTACTGGTGTGAGGTTCTTGCCCTCTATATCCATTTTTGTAGTAGAGCTTGGATAACTGGCCTTATCCATATTGTATCTCTGCTTTGTGTTTAAAGTTTGTCTTAAATGTCATCCTTCTTGTAATGGAATATTTCTCTAACCAATCTGGGTTTCATTAAATTTGAGATTTTTAGAGCTCTAAAAATGCTGCCCAGCCCTTTGCCATCTACTGACTAAACCCGTTCCCATTTTCCTCATTCAGATCAACATTAAAGATGCTAAGAAAATTAGCCCTCAAAGAAAACCATGTTAGGCATCACATATAATGTCCTTTTATAATAATGGACATACCTCATAATGTTCCTCATGTAATTCACCTTCAAAATACTTGTGCTATGAATTTCCATTTCTATGATGACTAGTGATGTGGAGCATCGATTCATCTGTCTATTGGCCATGTGAATTTCTTCTTTGGAGAACTGTCTGTTCAGTTCCTTTGACCATTTTTTAAATGGATTATTTGCTTTTTGTTTGTTGAGGTGGGTGAGTTCTTTATATATTTTGGATGTCAACCCTTTATCGGATCTAATATTTATGAATATATTCTCCCATACTGTAGGATGCCTTTTGTTCTATTGGTGGTGTTTTTGCTGTGCAGAAGCTTTTCAGCTTGATATAGACCCACTTATTCATTTTTGCTTTTGTTTCCCTTGCCCGGGGAGATATGTTCATGAAGAAGTTACTCATGTTTATGTCCAAGAGATTTTTGTCTATGTTTCTTTCTAAGAGTTTTATGGTTTCATGACTTACATTGAGGTCTTGATCAATTTCAAATTTCCTTTTGTGTATGGGGTTAGACAATGATTCAGTTTCATTCTCTTACATGTAGCTGTCCAGTTTTTGCCAACACCAACTGTTGAAGAGGCTGTCATTTCCCCATTGTATGTCCATGGCTCCTTTATCGAATATTAATTGACCGTATATGTTTGGGTTAACATCTGGACTCTCTATTCTGTTCCACTGGTCTGTGGGTCTGTTCTTGTGCTACTACCAAATTGTCTTAATTACTGTGGTTTTGTAGTAGAGCTTGGAGTTGGGAAGTTAGATTCCCCCTGCTTTATTCTTCCTTCTCAGGATTGCTTTGGCTATTTGGGGTCTTCTGTGGTTCCATATAAATTTTAAAACTATTTGTTCCAGTTCGTTGAAGAATACTATTGGTATTCTGATAGGGATAGCATTGACTCTGTAGACTGCTTTAGGCAGGATGGCCATTTTGACATTATTAATTCTTTCTAGCCAAGAGCATGGGATGAGTTTCTATTTGTTAGTGTCCTCTTTAATTTCTCTTAAGAGAGTGTTGAGGTTTTCAGGCTATAGGTCTTTCACTTCCTTCGTTAGGTTTATTCCTAGGTATTTTATTCTTTTTGATGCAATTGTTTATAGAATTGTTTTCCTGATTTCTCTTTCTGCTAGTTCATCGTTAGTGTATAGGAAAGCAACAGATTTCTGTGTATTAATTTTGTATCCTGCAACTTTGCTGAATTCATATATTTGTTTTAGTAGTTTTAGAGTGGAGTCTTTAGGGTTTTTTATGTACAATATCATATCATCTGCAAAGTGACAGTTTGACTTCTTCTTTACCAATCTGGATGCTTTGTATTTCTTTGTTTTGTCTGATTGCTGTGGCTAGGACCTCCAGTACTATGTTGAATAACAGTGGGGAGAGTGGACATCCCTGTCCTGTTCCTGATCCTAGGTGAAAAGCTTTCAGCTGTAAGTATGATGTTGGCTGTGGGTTTGTGACATATGGCCTTTATTATGTTGAGGTACTTGTCCTCTATACCCATTTTGTTGAGAGTTTTTATCATGAATAGATGTTGAATTTTGTCCAATGCTTTTTCAGCATCTCTGGAGGTTTTTTGTACTCCTGATTGTTGATGTGGTGGTTTTTGTCCTTCATGTGGTTTTTGTCCTTCTGTTTGTTGATGTGGTGGATGATGTTGATGGATTTTCAAATGTTGCACCATACTTGCATCCCTGAGATGAATTCCACTTGATCATGGTGTATGATCCCCTTGATGTATTTTTGAATTCGGTTTGCTAATATTTTGTTGAGTATTTTTGCATGTATGTTCATCAGGGATATTGATCTGTAATTTTCTTTCTTTGTGGGGTCTTTGCCTGGTTTTGGTTTTGGTATTAGAGTGATGCTGGCTTCATAGAATGAGTTTGGAAGTATTCCTTCCTCTTCTATTTTTTGGAAAACTTTAAGGAGAATGGGTATTATGTCTTCTCTATATGTCTGATAAAATTTAGGGGTGAATCAATCTGGCCTGGGGGTTTTGTTCTTGGGTAGATTTTTGATTACCAATTCAATTTCATTACTGGTAATTGGTCTGTTTAGATTTTCTGTTTCTTCCTTGGTTAGTCTTGGAAGGTTGTATTTTTCTAGGACGTTGTCCAGTTCTTCAAGGTTTTCCAGCTTGTTAGCATATAGATTTTCATAGTATTCTATAATAATTCTTTGTATTTCTGTGGTGTTCATGATTTTTCCTTTCTCATTTCTGATTCCGTTGATGTGTGTAGATTCCCTTTTTATCTTAATACGTTTGGCTAGGGGCTTATCTACTTTATTTTCTCAAAGAACTAGCTCTTGGTTTCATTGATTTTTTCTATTGTTTGATTCTTCTCAATTTTATTTATTTCTTCTTTGATCTTTATTATGTCCCTCCTTCTGCTGACTTAGGCCTCATTTGTTCTTCTTTTTCCAATTTCCATAATTGTGACTTTAGATGATTCATTTGGGATTGTTCTTCCTTCTTTAAATAGGCCTGGATTGCTATATACTTCCCTCTTAGAACTGCCTTTGCTGCGTCCCACCGAAGTTCGGGCTTTGTGTTGTTGCTGTCATTTGTCTCCATATATTGCTTGATCTCTATTTTAATTTGGTCATTGATCCACTGATTATTTAGGAGCATGTTGTTTAGCCTCCATGTGTTTGTGAGCCTTTTTGTTTTCTTTGTGCAGTTTATTTCTAGTTTTATACCTTTGTGGTCTGAGAAGTTGGTTGGTAGAATGTCAGTCTTTTTGAATTTACTGAGGCTCTTTTTGTGGCCTAGTATGTGGTCTATTCTGGAGAATGTTACATGTGCACTTGAGAAGAATGTGTATCCTGCTGCTTTTGGGTGTAGAGTTCTATAGATGTCGGTTAGGTCCATCTATTCTAGCATGTTGTTCAGTGCCTCTGTGTCCTTACTTATTTTCTGTCTGGTGGATCTGTCCTTTGGAGTGTGTGTTGTGTTGAAGTCTCTTAGAACAAATGCACTGCATTCTATTTCCTCCTTTAATTCTGTTAGTATTTCTCTCACATATGTTGGTGCTCCTGTATTGGGTACATATATATTTATAATGGTTATATCCTGTTGTTGGACAGACCCCTTTATCATTATGTAATGTCCTTCTTTATCTCTTGTTAGTTTCTTTGTTTTGAAGTCTATTTTGTCTGATACAAGTACTGCATCACTGGCTTTTTTCTCCCTATTGTTTGCATTAAGTGTCTTTTTCTGTCCCTTCACTTTTAGTCTGTGTATGTCTTTGGGTTTGAAGTGTGTCTCTTGTAAACAGCATATAGATGGGTCTTGTTTTTTTATCCATTCTATTACTCTGTGTCTTTTGATTGGTGCATTCAGTCCATTTACATTGAGAGTGATTACTGAAAGATACGTACTTATTGCCATTGCAGGCTTTAGATTCGTGGTTACCAAAGGTTCAAGGGTAGCTTCTTTACTATCTAACTGTCTAACTTAACTCATTTATTAAGCTATTATAAACACAGTCTGATGATTCTTTATTTCTCTCCCTTCTTATTCCTCCTCCTTCATTCTTTATATGTTATGCGTTTTATTCTGTACTCTTTTGTTTCTTTTGACTGCTTTTGTAAATAGGTGATTTTATTTTCTGCCTTTTGTTAGTATTTGGTTGTTTTGCTTTCTTTGGTGTGATTTTATTTTCTCTGGTGACATCGATTTAGCCTTAGGAGTGCTTCCATCTAGAGCAATCCCTTTAAAATACACTGTAGAGGTGGTTTGTGGGAGGCAAATCCCCTCAACTTTTGCTTGTCTGGGAGCTGTTTAATCCCTCCTTCATATTTAAATAATAATCGTGCTGGATACAGTATCCTTGGTTCGAGGCCCTTCTGTTTCATTCCATTAACTATATCTTGCCATTCTCTTCTGGCCTGTAAGGTTTCTGCTGAGAAGTCTGATGACAGCCTGATGGGTTTTCCTTTGTAGGTGACCTTTTTTCTCTCTCTGGCTGCCTTTAATACTCTGTCCTTGTCCTCCTTGGTTCCCTTGTGTTGGGAGATCTCTGGGCTTCCATGGTCTGAGATACTATTTTGTCCCCCAGTTTGGGGAAGTTTTCAGCAATTATTTCTTCAAAGACACTTTCTATCCCTTTTTGTCTCTCTTCTTCTTCTGGTACCCCTATAATGCAAATATTGTTCCATTTGGATTGGTCACACAGTTCTCTTAATATTCTTTCATTCCTGGAGATTCTTTTATCTCTCTCTGCCTCAGCTTATTTGTATTCCTGTTCTGTGCTTTTTATTCCATTAACAGTCTCTTGCACCTCATCCAGTCTGCTCTTAAGTCACTCCAGAGAATGTTTTATTTCTGTATTCTCCCTCCTAACTTGATCCTTTAGCTCTTGCATATTTCTCTGTAGGTCCATCAGCATGGTTATGACCTTTATTTTGAATTATTTTCCAGGATGATTGGTTGTATCTGTCTCCCCAGGCCCTCTCTTGGGGGTTGTCTGGATAATTCTGGACTGGAAAAAATTCTTCTGCCTTTTCATGGTGATAGAGGTAGTTGTAGGCAGGTGGCACCTATGTCAGCTGGGAGAACAAAGTCCCTTCCTGCTTGCTGGTTGCCCTGCCCCTCTACACTGCCTGTGTCAGTTACCCACACACCGGGAGCAGCCCTTGGGGTACCCAGAGCCCTGCAGGGAGAGGCAGGAGTGCTGGGTATGCTCTCCTGTGAGAATGGTGCCCGTTTGTGCCCTGGCCCAGCTTCCTCTGCCTGTGCTGGGCAGCTGCGCACCGGTGGCGGCCCCTGAGTCTGGCCCAGGTGGCTACGCACTGGTATGAGACTGGGCGGCAGCTGTGGGAGCAGCTGCTCTCCAGCTGCTTGGCTGCTGTGGCAGGGCCATGCCGGAGGGGGAGTGAATGGCAAGCTGTTTATTGCCATGAGGGGCTTCAGAGCTGCCCTGCCTCCCAGAGGGCTGCGGCAACCAAAGCTCCTCAGAATTCCCAGACTGCTGGGCTAAGTGTGCCAGGATGATTCCATCCAGCTGTGAAGCCCCTGTCCCTTTAAGACTTTCAAAAAACATTCACTTTTCTTTTGTCCCAGGGGAGCTGGGACCGCTCGCAGGTTTTACTTTCCATTTCCCTAATGTCCAGCACACCATGCAATGTGTGTTTGCACTCCCGGTGCAGATTACTAGAGTTGGGTATTTAGCAGTCCTGGGCTCCCACTCCCTCCATGTTCCGACTCCTTTCCTCCCGCTGGTGGGCTGGGGTGGGGGGAGTGTTTGGGTCCCACCGGGCTGCGGCTTGTATCTTACTCCTTTGTGAGGCGCTGTGTTCTTGCAGGTGTGGATGTAGCCTGGTTGTTGTGCTGTGTCTTCTGGTCTTTCTTTTAGGCTTAGTTGTATTTGTTGTATTTTCAAAAATATATATGGTTTTGGGAGGAGATTTCCGCTGCCCTACTCATGCTGCCATCTTTCCTTTATCTCCCACTCACTTTTTTTTGAGCTACTAAACAGACTGTACATTTTTATTTTTATTTACCAATGATACCATTCTTTTTTTATGAATCATCTGTTTCTGTTCTCTGCTTCCAAATGAAAGGATTATGGAATTAAGACATCTTGGGTTAATTACATCTCTGGTTTCTTTTCTTCAGATACTCCAGTTTATCTTTTTTCAAAAAAGGCAGAATTTGTTTGTTAGTACAATACAGAATGAGTCCAATAAAAAACTTGCCAGTTATGTCACATCGTAAACAAAGCAGCTGAGTTGTTGGAGGTCATATTAATGCCTTCCAGTACTTGTTTCTCCTATGTGGCAAACCAGACTACTGACTTAATGAAATGATATACGCTGGCTAGCAGACCCTGGGCTGCTGCTACTCTGCTGGACGCACACAGTGCTGCCTCATCTGATATTCTAAGTCCTGATTCCCAATTCTTATCGTAATTATTTTTTAACTCAACACTATTTGTAAAACAAAGGCTTTTAATAGCTTACCTTGTCCATATCTATTAATGTTACAGGAATGTTTCTTCCAACGACCACCATCACTGTTCGACCATAGTTATCAACACCTGCAAAGAGGAAATGGAATCAGCACCCAGAAACTTTATTCCAAGAGTTTTATTTGTCCTGAACCCTGACGTTACAATCTTTTTTTGTATTTTTTAATCCTTTACAAATGTAGAAGACTGAAAACCAGGAAAATAAGTTTTTCAAAGTTAATCTTCATATTTCCTGTTCTTTTAAAAACAATACTTTTATTTATTTATTTTTAGCTTCATTTAGTTTTGAGGACTGCCCTTATTTTAAAGATAAGGTCTCTTACAGGTTTTATATCAAGCACAGGCAAAGGTAAGCTTGTAGGGCAAAGATCTTTTTATAAATAGCTTTTTGTTTAAGCTCACTATAACTTTCAATAACATTAGTGATTCATGAAAAACTAAATGAAACTCAAATTTGAAAATTAGTAAGTACTGTCTAGAAAAGAAATACAATGAAGAAAAAGTGGGTACATGACAGTTTTCATTGTCTTTATTATATATTTATTTAAGGTTTGAATTCTGTATAGCAAGTAGATGGTATTTTTAAAAGCAGAAAAAAACTTTTAAAAGATAAGAAAAAAGACATTAAAGAAATGAAACAGGCCAATGTAGAACTACAAGTTGAAAATTTTATAGGTTTTGAGATGTTATTTTTAAGATCTTGATGATGACCAAAAACTATCTTCATTAGTATAAAAACATTTTACTCATAGATAAAATCGATAAAATCAGAGAATAATGGGATCTCTAATAGCATGCTAGGTAGATTCCTTAATTAGTAAAAGAATAAGTTACCATATCTTGAAGCTCACCTGTTTGGTATAAGGCTTTTAGAGAAGCAATATCAGATAGATCCTCAGATCTTGCTTGACATAACCAGCGATTGTAACTAGAGAAATAAAGAATGTAATTATTATAATAAACTCTTATAAATTAAATTTACAAATGGGATCTTTCTTTTTCCTTGTTCCTAAAGAATCATATATTATTATAATGAGGAAAGAGTTTGAAGCTGTTATACTATGCAGAATCTCCATGTGTTAGTGATAAACAGAAATGAGTTATTAAGCAAAGGTACTCATAATACATTATTTAAAAAATCTTCTGTGATCAAATGAAGACTACTTATAAAAATGGCTAAGATACCAAGTACTCAAATTAACATTGTTTTTAAATACTATCCCCTCTTTTATTAAAAAATACAAATAGAGAAAGCCTAAAGCAATAGCACTTCTCCAAAACAGATGTTCACTAATTCAATGAACTTGTTGAGTGCTTACTACGTGATAGGTATTGAGGATTTTATAATGAACAGACATGGTCAATGACCTCAAGGAGTTTACTTTTTTTTTTTTAAGCATTTTCAAATTCAGCTCAGTTTGAATAAAACGCTCTATGCACATAGTAGACATTTTTCTGAACAACAGTGAAAGCTTTCTCCCCCACCTTCTCTCCTCCCCACCCCTAACACCTAGTTTCTGGATTTCTTTCCCCAGAGGCAACCACTCCTTCCATTCTTTGACATCTCCTTCCATCAATATTCTCTGCATTCATACACAGGACTGTATTTATGCATCTCCCCCTTTGCATAGGATGTTAACATACTATATCTTTGTTCTGCATTTTGCTCTTTTCACTCACAGTATCTGACCAGTCTGCCTTCTGGGGTGAGCCAGCTTAACCTATCCCCTATTAATGGACACAGGCTGGGCTTCAGCCTCTTGTTACTACAATATTCAAGGAGTTTACTTTTTATAAGAAAAACAGGTAGGTGTTCTACGTATTATGTGGGACCCACACAGAAACTAGGTAATTTATCTGGAAAGCCCAGGCTTATTTAGTAATTGATTAATGAAACTAGTTGTACTAATACTCTATACACCAGATCATAGGGACTGCAGTTTGGGTTTGGCTAAGAGGATATTAAAGCTGGAAGAGATACTGAAGATCTCAAAGAGGAGAAATGACCTGCAAAAGATGGAGTTAATATTAGAGTTACCAGCCAATTAATGGTAGAGTTGAAGTCAGGTCTCCAGTTTTCCAGAAAGGCGAGTACTTTTTCTATTTCACGCTGCTTTCTTAATACTCAACGTGCCACCTTACTTGATCATAAAAAAGGTTTCAAGGTACCTAACTGTGTGAAAAGCAACTCTGAGGCACCTAGGTCACATATGGGGACATCCTATAACATCAAAAACAAAAACAAAAAAAACAAAATACTAAACTAGGAGAGGGAGGACTTGCCTGTAATCCTATCACTTTCTGTGCAACTTCAGTAAAAGTCTCATTTCTATGAACCTAAGTTTCCTTATCTATAAAGTGTTGTTTATGTAAGATACCCTTTAGCTATAAAGTGTAATCACACAACTACAAATATTTAATAGGAAGTCTATTATATATGGATTGTAATTAACAAATGATATGCCTTCTAGTTTCACAGAAACTTATTGTTTGTGAAAAACACACTTGGTATTACATAGTTCTATAGTTTGTCCTTTTAAACTTGGAACCTTGCTGACCTATGTCTATCAGTCAAAGATAATAGTTTTTAATTTTGGTTTAAGATAAAATTTTTAAGTCAAGAAAAGACTGATCTTTATTGCAGTTCTTTCTACTTATATGTGCTATTCCATATTTTTGCATGAGTCATTTCATAGTTTTTTTTACAGTAAATCTACAATTCTACTGTTTTCTAATTGTTTTATGGTTAAGTCACATCCACAATATTAAACAGAATAATATATCTTAAACGTCTTGTGAGCACCACAGGTCCTAGCTCAAAACATGTAACAGGAATTCAGTAAATATCTATTACTTTCTATATTCTATTTATGTACTCTTTACCTTGTTTTTCTATGATAAATGGCATAAATATAATGCCTGCATTATAGTAGGGACTTAGATCTTTTTTGGATGAACTAATAAACATGACTAATTCAAGGTATTTTGGAGGTCTGAGAATAATCATAAAAGGTCATTAGTTTCAAAAAGTTGAATATGAGACAGACACATATTAAAAGACAACTTTATAATAAGGCACAATGAAACAAGCAATCCAACAGGTGCCTAAATACTCTATCAATCAAGAATGTATGCTGAGAGAAGGGCTGGCAGGGAGAGGAGTGGAGGGGTTGGAGTGGAGGCAAGGTCTAGACATGCAGAACTAACTGCTCCTTTCTTTGTACCACAAAGATTAACACAAGACTTTACCCACTTACAGCAGTGTTTGCCTCTCCTCTGTTAGATCACAAGATAGGGAATATGTTCTACTTGACTCTACATTTCCACTAGGGTAGTTCTTGACACTTAGTAACTATGTGTTCAGAGAACTGTGAAAACAAATCTTTAAACTGGAACTAGCGAGTACTTTTTCTATTTCACGCTGCTTTCTTAATACTCAACGTGCCACCTTACTTGATCATAAAAAAGGTTTCAAGGTACCTAACTGTGTGAAAAGCAACTCTGAGGCACCTAGGTCACATATGGGGACATCCTATAACATCAAAAACAAAAACAAAAAAAACAAAACACTAAACCAGGAGAGGGAGGACTTGCCTGTAATCCTATCACTTTCTGTGCAACTTCAGTAAAAGTCTCATTTCTATGAACCTAAGTTTCCTTATCTATAAAGTGTTGTTTATGTAAGATACCCTTTAGCTATAAAGTGTAATCACACAACTACAAATATTTAATAGGAAGTCTATTATATATGGATTGTAATTAACAAATGATATGCCTTCTAGTTTCACAGAAACTTATTGTTTGTGAAAAACACACTTGGTATTACATAGTTCTATAGTTTGTCCTTTTAAACTTGGAACCTTGCTGACCTATGTCTATCAGTCAAAGATAATAGTTTTTAATTTTGGTTTAAGATAAAATTTTTAAGTCAAGAAAAGACTGATCTTTATTGCAGTTCTTTCTACTTATATGTGCTATTCCATATTTTTGCATGAGTCATTTCATAGTTTTTTTTACAGTAAATCTACAATTCTACTGTTTTCTAATTGTTTTATGGTTAAGTCACATCCACAATATTAAACAGAATAATATATCTTAAACGTCTTGTGAGCACCACAGGTCCTAGCTCAAAACATGTAACAGGAATTCAGTAAATATCTATTACTTTCTATATTCTATTTATGTACTCTTTACCTTGTTTTTCTATGATAAATGGCATAAATATAATGCCTGCATTATAGTAGGGACTTAGATCTTTTTTGGATGAACTAATAAACATGACTAATTCAAGGTATTTTGGAGGTCTGAGAATAATCATAAAAGGTCATTAGTTTCAAAAAGTTGAATATGAGACAGACACATATTAAAAGACAACTTTATAATAAGGCACAATGAAACAAGCAATCCAACAGGTGCCTAAATACTCTATCAATCAAGAATGTATGCTGAGAGAAGGGCTGGCAGGGAGAGGAGTGGAGGGGTTGGAGTGGAGGCAAGGTCTAGACATGCAGAACTAACTGCTCCTTTCTTTGTACCACAAAGATTAACACAAGACTTTACCCACTTACAGCAGTGTTTGCCTCTCCTCTGTTAGATCACAAGATAGGGAATATGTTCTACTTGACTCTACATTTCCACTAGGGTAGTTCTTGACACTTAGTAACTATGTGTTCAGAGAACTGTGAAAACAAATCTTTAAACTGGAACTCAGGTGGACAAAATAGCATTAAATACCTTAGTTCAAAACTCTCATCACTGATGCATGCCTGGTTATCTGAAAAAAAAAAAAAACAACTGCTTCTCTAATTAGTAATAACTAATTAAGGAAGTAGTAAGCACTCCCAATCCTGCCAGTCAAAAGTTATCCCCTCACAATAACCCCTATCTAATCACAAAGTCTCTCCTCTCCAACTGTAGCCTCTGCCTCCACCCATCCATCATCTGAAATCTCAGGTTCATCATTTTCTTACTTTTCATCATTTTAATTCATCTGTATATATTCTTAAAAAGTGTTTTGGTAGTTTTTAACTATTCAAAAAGAGAAAAGCTTATTATGATATATGTAATCTTTTAGGTCTTTCTTTGACATCTTATATTGCTAAGATTTATCTATATTATTGGATGTCAATATCGTTCATTTATTTTTTACTACTATATATAGTGCATTTGATACTATGTGAAAACTATGGCTTTTGTCATCCATTGATGGGTACTTGGGCTGCACTCAGGTTTTTGCTATTGTGAACAGTGTTGAGATCAACTTATTTTATAGGTCTCCTGGTGTTTGTGTGTGATTTCTCCTGGGTAGATACCAATGAGTAGAAGTGCTAGGTTACAGGGTATGTGCAGTTTTTGGAGGTAAGTCCAAACCTTTTTCCAAAGTGTTGTACCAATTTATATTTCTACAAGCAGTGAATAAGAGATCCTGTGAATCTATGTCCACTTGATATTAGCAGATACTTTAACTTTCGCCAATCAATTAGATTTGAAATGGTATTTCATTTCTCTGGTCACTAATGATGCTAAGTTCTTGTACATGTCTACAGGCCAGGTATTCCTCTTCCATGAGATGTCTGTTCATACTGTTTGTTCATTTTTCTATTGGGCTGTTTGCTATATTCTCCCTTATTTATATAAGTTCTTTATATATTCTTGATTCTAATCATTTACCAGTTGTGTATACTATGAATACTCCCATTATGTAACTTGATTCTCCTTTCTTTAAGCTCCATTGCTCCACTTTCTAAAGTTGTTAATTTTAATATAGTCAAAACTATTTTTTCTTCTTTACTCAATGCTTTTTCTTTTTTTGTAGATAATTATTTTTTATTGAAGGGTAGTTGACACACAGTATTACATTAGTTTCAGGTGTACAACACAGTGATTCAACATTTATATACATGATAATTCTAGCTACCAGCTATCACC